AATTGCATCTCCCCTTTCCCATGCCTCCTCTATGACGTCATTGATTAGAGCTCTTTTTAAATTTGAAATTTAAAAAAAGATTTTGTAATCATCATAAAGGGAAAAGGGGACCGGGGTACATCGAAATGGATTTTGAGAAAATATCTAAGTCTAGAAATTTTTACTAAAATGATCGATTAAATGAATTTTTTTTAATATTTAAATTTAATTTGCCGTGAAAAAAGATGGGCCACATCAGAACAGGGTACGTTGAAACAGAAGTCAATGTGCATTGGTATTTAAAACTTACAATTACTTTATTATTTTATAATAAATACAAATAAAAATAATTTATTGCTAATAATTTTTACATAATAATTTTTACATATATCGAGCATATTTATTAAATCTGCTCATTATATGCAGTATCTGAACATTAGTTTAGTTATATTTCCTAATTTAATAATGCGCCTTGTTAAATTTGAACATAAGATCACAAATAATAGATTTTCCTACCCCATTGGCATAACCAAGTCATTCATCCTGCATCCCCCCCCCAATCCTTTTCTAATTTTTTTTACAATATAATATTATAAACAATAATTTTAAAGAAATATAAGTAAAAGTTAATGAATGATTGTTAAATAATGAGTATGATAAAAAAAAAAGTGAAAAACTAAAATCATTTTTTTAAAAAATGTAACATGGCCATTGGTCTACAATATATGCACTTTTCAACAATTTATATAGAAACCTCACTTAATAGTTCCCATCTTCCAAAATTCTTCCTATGTTTTGCATTGTTCCAATTCATTGCTGTTTACTTTTTATTATAAAACCTAACATTAATAATATTATCAAGTTCTATCCTGATTCAAAAATATGTGCTATGTTATAGAGGACGGGTTATGCATTTGATATAAAATTAATTTGTATGAGTTTAATCCTGAGAAATCTAAATTAAGTGGTATTTATTAATTTTTTATCAAATTTAGGGTTAAAAAATGCAAATATCAATAATATGAAAAAGATTCTGATATAGAAATATAAAATATTTTTATCATTTATACTCATATCACAATTCTATAATATAATTAAATCTCATTCGTTGAGCTGCCTTCTAATAAAATAATTTTCAGACGTGCCGTCACATTTCGCTCTATAAGTGTATGAATAATCTAGTTGATTTTTTTAAAGTTACTTATCCTCGTATAAATAAAAAAAAATTATATAAAAAGAAGAGCGTTTCTTAAGGTATAATTTCGAAATCAAAATTTAAATAAAAATATTTTTCTTTTAAACATCAAAAATGCGCTTAATCTGCAAAATCTATTAATAGAAAATAAAATTCTCTTTTCAAATATATTATATAGATGGAAAGTAAAATGTATAATCTAGTTAATTAATAAATTCTTCCACTAAAATATTTATTTGTTTCAAATATATTTAAAAAAAATTATTATGTTAAATAACATATAAAATAAGTGTATAAAAGTGGGCGTAATTTAAAAAAAAAAAGAAATAAAATTTTAAAATATATGTGTAATATAAATTGTGTAATAATAAAAGAAACTATTGTTTTTTAAAAAAAATACCTAGAAATAAGAGAGGTATATTATAAATGTATACTTTTAAAACTATTCAGTAAAAAACAAGTTAAGTTTATGATGAAATATTTAAAATTTATAATTTTTCATTTTTTCTAAAATATTTGTGCATACATCGGTGCATTTTAAACCTTCCACTCATCCATAAGGTGTTTAAAGAGTTTTTGAATTGGGGCATAAATCTTGTGAAATGAATAATTATTGTAATTTTGGTCAACAACTTAATTTCACTACAAAACTGTGAGTTAAAAATGTTCTTTTAAATGAAGAATTTAGAGTTGTGATGATAGTTTATTTATTTAGATATATTTCTAAAATTATAATATCATCATTTTGATATTTTTAAGTTTTAAATTAAATAATATTTATGAAAACCTACCAGTGAAAAAATTCAAATACACATTTAATATAAAATATATTTAGTTTATTTTAAAAAAAAATACGCATATATTTATTTTTTCAAAATGTAAGTATCATTTATATTTATTATATAAATTTATCAAAATTTTCTACCTTCTTTAAAATTATAATTAATATTTAAAAATTTATATATAAAAAAACTTAAAAATTTTTTTTTTAATATAAATTTTTGAACAGAATTTTTGAAATGAGCAGTAGGGATCAAACCAAAAAATTTTCTATTAATACATTATTGGGACTTTCAAGTGTTTCTACCGTAGAGAATTCGGACAGATTGAATCAAAGCTTAATTAATGAGGATGTTTTGAAAGCTATTAGCGCAGATGAAATCAAAAAAATCGATGCACCCGTCACAAAGACTATCCACTTCGATCTCAGGGGTATATATATATATATATATATAATTTTATATGTTTTGCAAATTAAGTATCTTTAACTTTAATTAATTTAAAATGTGTAGATTAATTTTTAAAAATAAAATGTTTTTAGTCGGAATACATGAGAATTTGGAATCTTTTGAATAATTTCGCGATTTTTATATTTGAGTATCCCAAATTTTTAGAGTATACCTAACTAACCTTATAAATTCTAGACAACTTTGGTGACCAGATTTACTGAGGTTATTTTTTGGAATTTGGATCTGATTTCGCTCAGAATGCATTCCAATATATGTAGAGTATATCTAGTATTGAATTTCAGATGATTTGGTCAAGAATCGGGTATCTGTTATAAAAAAATCTCGATGAAAATTAATATAAATGAAGAATAAGGGAGACTAGGGATCACGTAAGTTTCATTAAACAAAAATGGCAATAAAATCAAAACTATACATGACAATTGCAGCTAAATAATATTTCATTTTGCTCCCCTTACTTTAACATTTTATATTTAAAAAAAGTATTATAATTCAACCACGATATTAATTTTTTCGAAACATAAATTAGGGAAAGGTGAGCATATTTATGACCCTGCTGTAGAAACCAAAATTTTTTACCATTTTTATATTATTTATAAATAATAATAATTTACTATTATAATTTTTAATCATGTAATTTTTAAACTTGTGTAAATAGCTGGTTACAACCCTCTAACTAGCCCCATATCCTCCTCACTATCTTTAAAAAATTTATTCTATGGTAATTTAAACTTAAACAATTTTTTTATATAAATAAAGTTATAACTTTATATAGAATAGATAATTAATAAAACCTTTAATACTTTATATTTTTTTAAAAAATCACAGTAGATCGAAATCATAATGGTCTATAAATTTTATAGATCATCCCGGATGTCAGAATACATTCCTAGTTAGATTATTTTCCAAATTTAAAAATCGCCCTTAGTAAATGATTTAAAGAGATTCTGATAAATCCTGGATTCCGAAATTTCATATATAAAATACTCTGGCAATCAACATCTTTAGTTCTTTATAAATACCTGTCAACATAATTTTTTTTATTTAATTAATGTTTTAGTTTATAAATCAATCATAACTTTAGATTAAAGGCATATACGAATCAAATAATAAACTTTTCGTATTCATTTCTTTTAAACGAATTGAAATTTACTTTTCGGATTCGCATGAAGAGTAAAATATGATATTTCTTTCAAAAGAATCGAATACGAATAATTCTTTTACGGTTAATATTAGTTTTTGAATAAGCCTACTTTTAGAGTGTGTTATTAAATGACTCATTCTGTATAGATGTTAAATTTTTAAAAATGTAAATAATAGAAAAATATTATTATATACCTTGTTTTTATTGGATTTATAAATAGGTTTTGTAAATATTTAATCTAAATATGTTTTTAAAATCTTTTGAACAAGTATTATATCAAGTGGTAAATTAATCTAGAATAAGGAGTCGAGGTTTGCAAGTGGGCGAGCTTAAACGAGAGCACCCACCCGCTCTCTAAAAAATCTGGTTAACCCGCTCATCAGCCCGATGTTTAAAGAATAATTTTTTGGTTGGTTTGGTTCTTTTTTTATTTTTACGTATTTTTTACTTAAAATTATAATATGCAATATTATAAAATATAATTTTTAATAAATATAAGTTTTTTTGCTTATTTCACCTTAAATAGTATTTCAGATACCCCCCATTGTCCGCCCATTGTTTTAAAGATTTAACCAGCCAGCTCACTCTTCCCATGACTTATGGGCGGTAGTGAACAAGTCAGCTGAAAACCCGCTCATTGCACACCTCCAAGGATATTAATTGAAAATCCCTCCCCCCTAGTTTATTCTGAATCTTTTTTCAAATTTTAATCCATTTGTAAAGATTTTTTTTGAAAATCTTTTGCTCCAATTTTGGCATGAACTTTTCTAATCTTAATATTTATTAATTTTATGTTATTAATTTTTCATATAAATTATGAAATACAGAGGATTTTAAAAACTGAGATTAGGATGAATAATTCTTGTTCCAAATTAACTTAGCACACATATAATACAATGTAGTATTATGTTTATAATAAATAAATATTTATTTTATTTTAAATTACACTATAGAATATGAAGATCAAATTAAGTCAAGCGGTGATAGAGTCGTTGAAGATAATGATGTTAAAAGAACAAGTTGTAATATTCTTAAACCACTTCCTCATTATCACTCAACATATGGTATGACAAAATGTATTAACAACAAAATTATCGCAAAGCAAACTTTACGGCCTGAAAGAGATCTAATTAATTATTCTAAAAACATTGATGCAAAAGGCAGAGAAATAATTAAATGCAAAAAATATGATATATCAAATCAAAATAAATTAGGAAGAAGGCTTCCTGAACTAGATCAATTTCACAACTACTATTGCAATCCATATAATATGGATTATAATAGAGAAGAAATTTGGAACCCTTCCTATAATAACTATTGGCAAAAATACGCTCAACTTCTTAAACAATTTAGTCATAACTATACTCATTCAAACGTTATGCTCGATCATATTTCGGTTAATGGAATGGTTCCCCCGAGTTTAATTAATTCGTATATGAATAAGAACTATTCTACCAAGAATGATACTTCTCTTTCGTCAGAAGTTTTTTATGACAAGCGAGAAAACACTGGAAGCACTAAGCACTCTGTTGATTCCTCGATTAGATCTTCGATTTCGCTTTCACCTTCATCTAATGCGCCTATGGGTGATGTAAAATGCTGTCAACCATCAAACTATGATGATGATGATACTTGTTATTATGACACTACACATTCCAAAGAAGATTATTATGAAGAAGATTATGAAGAAGAAATGGAACATGATATCGAAGGTAAAGAATCCATGACAGAAGAGGAATATTTGGCTAAAAAGCGAAAAAGACGTATCTTGTTTACCAAATTACAAACATACGAGTTGGAAAAACGGTTCAGACAGCAGAAGTACCTCTCAGCACCTGAAAGGGAAAGCCTCTCAAAGATAATAAATCTAACTCCCACTCAGGTCAAAATATGGTTTCAAAATCATCGATATAAATGTAAGAGGTCTCGCCAAGAACGTAGGAAACAAAGGGAAATTCTAAGTCAAGTACTGACTAATAAGGTTCAGGTCTCCAATTTTCGAGATGGTGATATTAGTATAAACAAAAGAATATCTGAAGAAGAAAACGACTCACCAGAACAGAAGCCACAATTTAATAACCACAAAAAATACGAATGGAGCGAACTCAGTCACGTCAAGGCTCATTTTCACGGTACCAATGATCATAATCATGCAATTCCTAATACCCCTTCTAACGATCAGGATGAAGAGGACTATTACGAGTACTTTAAACGTAGCACTAGCCATAGAAAATTTCCTAAATCAGACAAGAACAACCCTTTTTACAGTGTTTTCGACGAAGAAAAAGCCTCAAATATAATTATAGAAACAAGTAAAGAATCTAAACCAATTGTAATACAACATAATCAGGACAAAAGTGCTAAAAAAAACATTCACGACATTCATAAATCTAGGGCTTACGATACATCTCACAAAAGGATGAAGAGGATAAGACAATTAACCCTTGCCAAATTTAAAAAAAATAATCTGCAACTCGCTCATGGGAATAAGATGAAACATAATTATGAAAGTAATAATACACAGGTTCCTACAAACTATTGTGTTGAAGCATGCCAAAAGTATGTTCAAACGCCTCCCTACAATATCCATCATCCCTATATGAACCCTGATTCTCCGCAAAGATATTGGTTCAAGGGACCAAAATTTAATAATAACAATAATATCAAAGATGGGCACATTAATAGAACCTTTGATTATATAGAAACATCGGAAAACAGAGCTGTGAAACTCAAATCTGATAAAATTATTGACACTTATGCTAACTATAAAAAATATTTGGAGCACTCACCAAGCACAGAATTTGCCAATGTTACTCATGTAAATTCAGATTTTGATTCAAGAATGCACAAACAATACATCGATAATTTATTATATTCTCATTTCCCTCTCACAAAAAGCTACCAATATTATTATCACCCAAAGGCCAAAATTATTGAATAAATAACATAACAATATAATAAAATTGTGAATTAAATGTTAGAAAATCAAAAATATTATATTTATTTATTGTAAATTTGTTAAATAAGATTAATTAATATAATAAAATATTTATTTTCGATTAAATCATCAAAAAAATTTGTGATAATTATAAGAGGAACTATAGATATCTCTTAATGATTGAGCAATTCGAGATAATTTTTAAATATTAAATCTCCATCATCTTTAAATTATTAAAGTAGTATTCGTAGTTTTTACTATTTATCTTTTAGATTTAAGTGAGATAAAATATTTTTCGAATTTTAAAATTTATTTACTTTCATGGAGGCCAGAACAGGTCGGTAAATTTTTCTATCAAAATTATCATCAAAAATTACCAAATTTTTACAGTTTAATATATTATACTATCTATTTTAATAAAGGTAAATATTTAAGCTTGCTCGACCTAAACCTGTGGCTTCTCGGATCCCGTGACGACTAGTTGAATCAATAAAGTTTAACAAGTCTCCTATTAGATAGATCACCTCTTTTATTCCTCTATTTTGATGAAATTTTTTTATCTATATGAAACAGCTTAGGCCATTTCCAAACAAAACGTTTAAGCGGTTTTTCTGGCATGTTTTTCTAAAAAAAATTTTAATCGTTATATAAAATAAATTATCTTTGTTTTCTATTAAAGATTAAATGGCGTCGGAAATAGGGATTCGGATTGTTTTATTTAAAATAATATATTATAAAAAAATTAATTCGACAAATTATTATCCTTTGTTTGTAAATAAAAAAATTACTGGAAAACATGCCACAAAAACCGTTTTGTTAAAAAAGAGTTCTGTTAGGAAATGGCCTGATGGGAGGGCGGGGCTATATGGCAGGTAAGGTAAAAAGGCAAATATCTATGAATTTTTCATTAGGCTAATTGTTTCTAATTTGACAAAGATTATTTCTATACATGCTATTTTTATGTTTATTGATTGGAACTCCTCAAGAAATATTGCTCAAAAATAATATTTTCACTTTTTTATTTGATAATTTTTGTTCAAAAGCACTATTGTGAATTTTATAAAATTTATAAGATATATTCCTATAAGTATATGAAACCGAATGAACATAGTCATAGGTTTCTATCACCACCTAGGGTTAAAGGGCAAGGGACAAATTAATAATTTTGTGAAGCAAGAATTTCTCAAGGACAACGACCTCACACATTATTTTAAGTTGATTTTCCGCCTGTGTAACCTACTCACTAAACCCTAAGAGTTTGATTTTTACCAATCTGTAGAGATCGTTCTAGAGGTAAATTTTGGATAGTGTTATTCCTTGTGATAGTGTTGTTGAACGGCTCGTTTTGAGCCGATTTTTTAAACGGCTAACTCAATATTTTAGCCAGAAAAATATTGCTTAAGCCTCGAAATTTTGCTAATAGATGTCCAAACCTTTGTTCTTTCTACAAACAAAATCTTCAGGCTTGCGTAATATTATTCTGGGTGAAATATTGAGTTAGCCGTTTTTAAAAATCGGCTCAAAACGAGCCGTTTAACAATAATACCTAGTAATATGCAAATAAGGCTTAAATCTCAGTACAGTTAATAAGGCTTTAGCCAACTCCCTATCTCATTATGATAGCAGGTACCACTGCTGGGGGGGGGGGGTGACAGAATCATTGAAATATAAAAATAAAGGAAATAGAGGTGGTAGAAATGTAGGAGGTATGTTTTTCTAAGCTAATTTTGATAATTTCAATTTCCTATTTTTTGGTAAAAATATTTTATGGGTAGATTAAAAAAATTGGGAGGGGCTGGGGTCAGATTTTTAGGAATGTAATGTAATATCAGTAAAAGGTGCGATTATATAATGCAGCAATTATTATGAATATAATAGGCATATTTTCTTTGTGCCAGGAATTATCTATTTTATGTGTTTATCTTTTTTGTGAAGAATATTTTTTTATTTATAATTGTGTATTTACTATAATAAATAAAATTTTTATGTTTTTACGATTTTTACTTACTCTTTTAACCGATTACTTGGAAGTGGGAGTAAAAAATAATCCAAATTCGGCAGCAGGAGACAGGGCACATACAAATATATTTAAAATAACCGTAAGGTGATGGATGATATTGAGAATAATTTTTACCTTGTCCCCTCAAAAAACTTATTGTTAAAGTAATTGTTGAAGTATAATGTTAATCAAAAATCTGGATAGAATTATGAAAACCATAAAATTATTGCTCTGAAACATTAATAATAGAAATATCCGAATTCCTAATGTTATATACCTTTTCTCTATCAGAAAAAAAAGAACTAATTTACCAATAAAATATGAAATATAATCAAAACTAGCTGGGCTGCTTCAAATCCTTCGGAGCCTTCGGCTGGGTCACGAATCTAAATAATTAATTAAGCATTTTTTTATTTTTACCACGTGGGTTTTTTTATATTTTACTTTTTATATAATATTTTTTTCATCACCATTAATGTTTGTTGAACAATTGAAAGCACAAATAAAATTTCCAATATTTCCTGCTTCATTAGTGCATAGGATACTTTAACCATTATAAGAGGAAAAATTATTAGCAACAAAATTTTGGCCAACCTTAATATTTAAAGCGTCTAAAAGTATTTATTCTAAAAATTTTATCGATCTTTAGTTTTAAATCATATTTTAATCCGTTTGGTGGGCAGGTAAAGGAAAATAGTTATTAGTAAAATAAGAAAAAATAGACAAAATTGGCATCATGCCAGAATGTATAATGTAGAAGAACTAAATATCTGGTTTGCGCTAATTTCCCTTATTTGTCTGGTTTTAATAATTCAACAATCTGTTACAAAAGAACGAATTATAAACAAAATTAAAATTCTGAAGCAAGCTTTGGAAACGCTCATTCTAAAACTTATATCAAACAATTATTAATTTAAACTTTTCATTGCTTTAATCTGTTTGGTAGACAATAAAGGGTGAAAAAATTATTGCTAATGTAAGAAAAAAGTTTCCAAAACTGGCCTCATGCTAGGATGGTTAATATTGAAGTTCTAAATATCTGGCTTGCCTTAATATTTAGTACCTTACTCAATAAATTTTCAATGAATTTCTTCCACCACAAAATTTAACAGAATTATAATCCAAATAAAAAATATAATATTGCGCCTTAAAGCATTAACTATAAAACTTATATCAAAATTATGGCTTAGGGAAAACCGGAGCATAAAATAGAAACTAATTATAAGTCAAATAAAAACTAAAACGGTAGCCATAGAAGTTAAAATCTCATTATTTTTTGAATTGTTATATTTTAAAAATTTGATATGAACTTGAATCTCATAGTCGCAGTGGCGTCACTAGCCTTTAAAATCCCGGGAGGCTAAAGTTTTTCTCTTAAAAAATTATGTTCCTTTTTAAGACTTTCAAAATGACCTTGTTTTTTTGGCTAACATTTTCAAAATGACCTCTTTTTATGTATTTTTTAAAAAAAAATATCAGTGGACTCTTCAGATTTTCAGGGAACTCGAGTCCCTATGCGTCCTCCAACCATGGTGATGTTACGTTAAGACACAGTCTTAAGCACGGTTTGCCAAACTTTTGAAAGCATTAGTGCCATAGCTTATGCCAATATAGAGGGCTAGTATACATTTTAATTTAATATTCAATTCGTTCGGTAAACAGTATAAATAAATTAAGTTATTAGTAAAATAAAAAAATATATGAAATTGGTAGATTGGTAGAACTAAAAATATGGAAGCACAGAAACAATAATAATAAAAAAAATTAAATAAACGATATATATATAAAATTACTATCATGAAAAATTAACTTTTTATCGTATTTTAAAATAGAGATAAATTTCTTTTTATGTAACTTTGATACTTTATGCTTAAATTAATTCAATTTTTAAATATTATTTTACAAGCCCGGATATTGGTCGATGTATAGGTACGAGGGTGGTGGATAGTCTTTAAACCTTCATGGGCAGGATTCGGGCCACGCACTGGTTTTGGGATTAATATTATATTTTCTAGCGGGTCTATGTTTTTTAAAAATTTTAGTGGGCTTGGACCTAAAAATTTTTATTAAAATATTCAACAGTTGATAACTTAAAAAATATTGCAATTTTTATTTTCTAATAATAATTCAGCATTAGAAACAATGTGATTGCCTAAAAACCCTGAAATATTGTTTATTTTCATTAAATGCAACAAGTTAATTTTTTATATATGGGTTTGGGTCGGGCTTGGTAAAAATTTTAGAAACGTATGAGTATACTTGAGATTTTTTAAAATACTAAATATGGGTTGGGTCGTGTATAGGCCTAAAAAAATTTATACTGCGAGCCTTGGCAGGACTTAATCAAAAAATTAAGGCCCATGAAGCTATCTGAAGAGAAGAGGAGCCTTCAAACGGGAAGAGGAATTGTATAAGTAAATATGTGTAATACCAGAAAGAAAGTAATATTAATATGTAGTAAGGATTTATAAACTTTAAAAAAAAGAATATCCACATCATTGGTCCTCTATGGGGGAAAGTGCCAAAAAGATACGGGGTCTCTAACAATCCTTCACCCTTTAGTAACTTCGTATGGACACTTATAATTACTGAATTGTCAATCTAGTATATATAGATTTGGTAATAAGAAAAAAACTTTTATATAATTTAAGTTATATAACCAATAAAAATAAAATCCTAAAAACCTAAAGTGAATAAATATTATATTATAATCGAAGTCTATATATTTTTTAAAAAAAACTTATATCATGCATGGCACACTATTTTATGAAATCTTTCTGCTATATAAAGTTACAAAAGTTGATTATCACTAGAAAACTGAGATAAATAGCACAAAACAAATAACATTATGTTACAAATATAGGGCCTTAGGTAACTAGAGGGAGGGGTCATCCAAAAGGTGCATTTTTCAAAGATTACATATTTTGATCACTTTTTGTTATCTTTTTCTTATGCGTATACTAGATTCGTCATTTTTTAAATGGGATTCGTGTATACGCAGGTT